TTCCCTACAGATTTAATTTCTCTAATAGATATAAAATGATGTAAATTATCTATTTCTTCTTGAGTAAGCTTTCATTTTAGTGCCTTTTTAGGTGTCGGTCCAGTTCATGTTGACTTTATGGGTATAGAGTTGTTCCTGTACCTAATCTTTGTAATATCTGTAGGGTCTGTAGTGATATCCCTTCTTTAATTCCTGATACTGGTCATCCTTTTTTCTTGGTCAGTCTGGCTAGAGTTTTATCAACTGTTTTCATCTTTTCAAAGACCAATCTTTTGGCTTCATCAATTTTCGCTATTTTCTATTCTGTTTCAGTGGTTTCTGCTCTGATCTTTATGATTTAGAAATCTCGGGCTAATCCACATGTTCTGATTAGGACTTGCTGGTATGTTGGTGTGACTTGTGGCCCCCACCCCCAAAGCCACAGCAATCCCTCTTTCGTGGGTCATTTGAGAATCTGATGAAACTCACGGATGTCCCCAAGAACAAGCACATGCGCACACTCAATTTTGCACATAGCTTTAGGTAGTTCACAGGTGTCAGGCTCAGAACCCCCAACCTGGAGCTCAAATCCGATGGTGTCAGCTCCCAACGTTTCCACTCAAGACAAGCAGTTTGCTCCGGCAAAGTAAGAATCTAGTGATAAAAAACAGAAAGGTAAAAAAAAAACAACAACACAGGCCTGGAGGTATTTTCAGTTTCATTAAGGCGTAGTATTTTGCCAACTGTTTGTTTTTCATCCAAAGCACTTTGCTGGCACCATCCCAGCTGGGTTCTGAATTTTAGCCCGTGAGTTTCTTTGGGCAGACTCCGCCCAGCGCACTTCTCTCCCGATCTGGGCAGAGAGATTCTTAAAGGCTTTTTGCCTCGAATTGGCCACTTTCGGCTACTTTTTGACCCTTGACCTAGCTTCAAACGGGGTTTCGGGGGAGAGGCCCTGGTACGCACCCACCAGGGTTCCCGAGCCGCGTCCCGGCCGCGAAAGCTGTGCTGCGACCCCGCCGGTTCCGAGGACACCGTTAGCACTAGCGACCTCCGACCCCAGCCCCCAACCCCTCCCATGTCAGCGTCGTGGCCTCGCCTCCCCATGCCTGTTTCCCGCCCCCTCCCATTGACGGTCGCCCCCGCGGACCAATGAGCAAGGAGTATCCACCCCTGGGGCGGGGCCGGCCTCGAGCCAATCCCCGCTCGGGCGCCCGCCTGGGTCCAAACGGCCCAATGGGGGGCGGTGGTGGGGCTCACTGAGGGGGCGGGGCAGGCCGGCTCGGCCAACGGACGTGCACGTCGGTGCCGCGAGGGGCGGGCCCGCGGCGGGCGTGCGGCGGCGCGGCGGCCCAGGGCGGGGGAGGAGGTAAACAAGATGGCGGCGGCGTGTCGGGCGCGGAAGGGGGGGGCGGGCCGG